CTCTCTCTCTCTCTCTCTCTCTGCCCCCCTTCTCTCTCTGTGTCTGTGTCTGTATGTATGCATCTAAATCTATGTGTTTGTAACAGTGCATTTAAATCTTTTTTGTTTGTTTTCAAGATCACTCTGTACGTCTTTTTCCATTTCTTTTTTCTCTAAATCTTTCTCAGTCTTGTGTGACACAAGTTTTTATACATGTGTGTTTCCAACGTGCACTCATTCATTATCAAGCATGCTGATTTGCATGCTCACTTTTGCACTGACAAGGGTTTTAGCAACTTAGCAGAGTAAAGGAGAAGAAAAGTAAAATATCTACCTGCTGTATGCTGCGCTGTTGTTGGGATTGGGAGATCTGATTGGTCGATTCAGACGTGGTTGTGACTGCTGCCAATGCTTGTGCCCTGTTTTGACTGGAAGGGGGCGTGTCCAAAGGCGGGGCTGGCAGAGCGGCACAGGGTGACACGTTCTGAGTGGGCGGGACTTGAGTAAAGGCCAACGCCCCCTGAGGCGGAGATATGACAGCGGTGGGGACGGCATGGGCGTAATTTGTTGTCATCATGTTACGAGCTTGTTGATTGGCTATTGCCGATGTTTGGTGGAAGCTTGCATTTGCTGGTGATTGGTTGATAGCAAAGGCTTCCATTGTGGAGAATATAGGGCTTTTAAAGCTGTTTGTCTGTTGGGGGGGGGACCAATGATAGAGCTGGGAGAACTTCGGTCAGTGGACCCTTTCGTTGGCTTGTATGCCTCGACTCGGATCAGCGGAGCATTTTCTTCAGTCTGGTAGAGGCGGTCATCAACAGTGGTGCTTCTGTCTGAAAGTGGAGATTTTTACATTGGTCAAAATATGTACCTGTTTGGGTACCCCTTCAAAAATATTTTTTAAAAAAAGAAATAGTTTTGTCAACTGTCCCCTATTTCCCTGGACTGCACTGGATTTGGAAATCAGGAATTTGAAAACTTTATCACGTGATGCACTACTCCAAAAACAGATTGAGGGTTCCTTCATCTCTCCCCCC